TTGTTTACCACAAAGTTTTTACGATGCTCGCCATAAGGATTACTATGGCTCCAATTGAAGAAGCTTAGAAGAACTAAATAGCACTGAAATAAAGATCCACCTAGCCCAAGCAGCACAGTGGGAACGACCACTGCGGTGGGACCGAATGGGCTTGGGTGGGGTTGGGTGGAATTAAGAAGGGGTTGGGCATGCATTGTGGGACAAGTGAGCGCCGATAACAGTTAAGTGCGGTTGCGTAGGGCATGATCTAGCTTCTGGGCGCCGCCCCAGCAGAGCGGGGTCGGCGGATATGTGTCTATCAGTCTTGACTAAGTGGTGGATTTCCGTCAGGCTGCAGGAAGAAGCAAGGCATTGCCCAAGTTCTTGCTGCCGGCACGTATTAGGTTCCGCTGTCGCCGACACCATAGACCGCGTCGCCGAAAGCGAGCTCCTTGGCGCCGAGCTTGGTGGGATGTGTTCTGATTGCCTAAATTGCGGGCATAATCAGCATATTTCCTGCGCCGCTGGCAAGGAGGTTACGGATGACACTGTTCCGGATCAGACCTTGCATTGTTTTTCGTAATGCCGTGCAGGAACTAGGAAAGTGATGCTTATGTTGCGTTCATGAATATAGTGAGTTTAGTTTTTTTGCAGCAGCCGTTTCGTGAGTCTGGAGTCAGAGGCTCTCTTGAAAGCTCGCGGGGTGCCTTCATGTCCAGGACCTTCAAAAAGGCCAAAAGCGCCACCGTCCTTGGCCTCCACAAGGCCTCGGCCTCGGCCTCTCGGAGCCGCAACAGCTTTAAAGCTCTGAGACGTGTGCGGAGGTCGGGGAGACGGTCGGCTCCGCACCGGTGGCCTCAGCCTCGGCTCCGTTGCTTTCAGGAAAGGGGGGGTAATCGCGGATCCTTTTAAAAGAAGGAGACCATAACTTCTTAAGTTCCTGCCGACAGAAGCGTTGCGAGGTCCGCAACGCCGTCGCAGCGCACCTCGGTTCGGTCACAGATCACGCGAACTCCCAGGTTGCGGACAAGGAGCTCGGCCGGGCAACAACAAGTGTGGGAACAGTCGAATCGGGTGGGATGTTTGTAGACTCTAGACCCTTGACTGAATCAGGTTCAAGTTGTTCTTTTGGGCTCTTCGGGCAACTTTGGCGCCCGCAGACAGACTATATGGTGCATCCTGGGACTAGTAGTAGCTGCTTAGTGGCTAACTCCTCGCCAGGAGCGCAGCGAAGCGCTGAGCCGCAAAGCTCTTGAGCACTGCCGGGCCAGGCCGGGCGGACATGCCTGAAACGGACAATATATATATATATATATACACACACACACACACACACACATATATATATATATATAGATTATATTAGAATATATTATATATATATATATATATATGTATATATATATATATGTATATATGTATATTATTTATATATTATATGGGGCAGGCGAGTTCTGAACGCATGGAGAGGTTGCGGTATGATGCGGCAGCAGGGTCGCGACGGTCTGCGTGAAAGATTGTCAATTGGAAGACGAGGAGGGTCTAAGCAGAAAGTTACAACGATACGTCGTAATACGTAGACGTGATCTGGCCGCATGGCCCGATGATACTGGTCTGTCGGCTTGGGTTGGTTGGTTGCACTTCCGGCTGAGTTAGAAAGACAGGCACCTCTCTGAGGCTTCGCCCTGCCTCTTCCAAAGCCTCGTTTAGTCTCCTTCAAAGGCTCGAGGAGCACAAGGAGGCAGTGACGAGAACTCAAGGTGCCAGAGAGGGCCGCCAGATGAACCTCGGTTTAATATCCCGGGGTTCACGGACAAGGGTCTAGGGGTCTTGGGATTTGGTGATGGCTTCTTGCGGGGGAGCCGATCAATCAAAACTGAAGTAACTGAAGGTCAAGCTGTTGGAAGTGTATTTTCCGCGGAGATGCTACAATCTCAGGAACTGGTGGGATAACATGTGGGAGCCGCTGGGTCGCAAGCAGCCTTTGCCAGACGACTAAATCAATACTCGTGAGGTGCACTTGGCCAAGCTTGCGGGGGTGAGGTTTCTACTGGCCGGGAGTTTCGTGAGGGAGTCTTGACCGGACCTTTGGATGAGTTGATAGCCGACAATCTGGCTACGCAAATACTGTTTCTGTCCATGGCTTCCTCTTGTTCGCTGCTCCCCCTGCCCCTTTCTTGTAGCCTCCATCTCTTGCATCTTTGTTGCCATCTCTCTCGGTCTCCGTCTGTCTCTCTCGCTCACTGTCTCGCTGCTACTGTGCGACCGTCACTAAAGATGCCTGTCTGCACCCCCAAACCCGTCAGGTGGGTTCACGGTGAGCAGGCGGCAGCAGATCGCCGATACGACAGGGAGGCGGCCAACGAGCTGCTCGGACTGGTCACCAGCTCTCCGTGTCCATATTGCCTTCACTCGATCATGTCAAATATATGCGAGGCACGGTTGCACTCGTTGAGCCCACGCAACACGGGCTCGGTATTGATCATACAGTACCATACAGTGTAGTCGGATGGCTGTGTTGCTTCGATAGTGCTGGTCATTCAGCGCATGCCTCAACGGGCAACCCCGAGAGCATCGTCTTTGCCTGTTTGTACGCATCTTTAGATGTGCGTAGAAGGCTGTATGCA